ATTTTTATGTTTTCACATATTTTGTATCAGCTCTGGTGTTCATCTTATTTATGACACCTGAACAGCAGAACCACCCCATGAAATACAGGGGGAAAAGGTCCTTCAGGGCAGGTGCTAGGGGTGCATGCCACATCTGGGGCATGCTGCTGTGGGCAATGTACTAGTACCTCAAATTCCATTACTCACATCTGGCAAAACACCTACTGGAGCTGTTTTAAAATAGCTTCCTATTCACACTAAATTCACTGAATTTGAAGACTCCTGCCTTCAGAAGCCCTCTGCAAACATTTCTTAACATACCTTCACTGATCCGTTCACCATACTTTCAGTCAATTCTGCATCCAGATATGATAATAACAACTATTATTTCATAAAGAAACAAACACTCCTCTTTGTCTAATGAGATTTTCATTTGCTCTCCACCTAGAAGGCTGCCAATACTTTGAAGTGGGTCTGACCATCTGCCTGTCAGTTAGGCTACCACTGCATTTATATATTTATGGCTCAGTCCAGAAAGGGAGGTTTGACTGTAGTTTGTTACAACAGGTGATAGACACTGAGATTTGCTTGGATCCCTTAGTACTGAGAATTATTCATGTCACACAAGGGTGGGAAATAAGTTGTTGTGTCTCTTGTTCAGAGATATTTCTCCTTTAACTGTTTCAGATTTACATGTTCCTGGGATTCCCGAAGACTAAGAAGGAATTAGAAAAAACATCTTAAGCAACCTAAAGTTGAGATTCAGAAGGATTTTCTGTAAATGAAACAAGAGAGTTTTTCTTCCTTTGATTTCTATTCTTTAAAACACCATGTTTACATATTACAAAAACAGAAGCCAAGACAAAATTTTAAGAGTTGGTGCAAAGAATAGATCTATTACCCACAAACTAAAAACTCTTCTAGTAGCACAGATATTTCAGAGAGATCAGAGCCACAGCATAATATCCAATATTCATCACTCATAGAGGCAAACTCAACACTTCTCAAATTACATGTACTGGAAGCTATAGAAATATCTATGGTTCATGAAGGAAAAAAACCTAAATACCTGCAATGTAGTTTTGCCATGAAAGAATTCAATGGTTGGATTTCTCTCTTACATTGTCATGAAACAAGGTGAAGTCTATATTATGTAAACACCAGGATTTTTTTTTTTTTTGTCCTAGAAAGCATCTGGCAGTTGAGAAGAACTTACTGAAAGCAATTCAACTACAGATTACAATGATCCTCTAGACCATCTAGCAAGATTTGCTCTACCTCTCCTTGACAGTGTTTAACATTCGCATGAGAATTTTATTTCCAAATATGAACGAAGTATTTTGAACTATTCCTCATTCAAAATACTCCTGTCTAAGCAAACATATCTAAGACTCAACAAAGCAGGAGATACCTTACAACACAATACTCTGCAGGAAAAATAAGGGAGTTCTAGAATTCAATCTGATGCTTTGCATCAAATCCAAGCATGGGGAAAGGAATTAGGAAATCTCCCCTTCCAAATCAGGAAGGATTTTGTGATTAATCAGGATTAATTCAATGGACTCTCCTTTTGACTGAAACCAGCAATATTCATGCATTTTTAAAATCTTTCTCATATTCTGAGGCTATACCGTCAGACTAAACAATCTGAAATTAAGAATACTGAACTCTAGCATCATAAGTAATAAGTGGTGTTGGAAATGCCTCCTTATTAGTGTGTAAAACTTTCTTGTCTTTTCCTTATTAGCAAAGAAGATGACAACATAAAACTAGAAAAACAACAACAAGAAATATTTTTAAAACAGTATTTTGATTTTAAAAAAAAGCAGTTGAGTGCACTTTGCAGTGTTATCAGCCGTTATTAAAACTTCCCCTACTTGGTACAAACAATGGAGACCTTCAAGATTCAAAGAGCCCATGGTTTCCCTGTACATCCTGAAAGATTTCCATCATGTGTGTTAGTGCCATAAAACTCAGGCAATTAAAGCACAAATGCTCTGGTGAACTTACTTGTCTACCAAATCAGCTTCTCAAATGTCTCTTTAACTTGCAACATATCCCTATGAATATTCAGAATAACGTTCTTTACAGTAGGCCTTGAGTACTACAGAACTGGTTACCAGATACTAAAGGCTTTCCTTAGTCCTTCAGGAGGCTTCTGCATAGATTTAAGCATCCTCAGTATCAACAAATGATAGCCAACAAATTATGAAAGCCTGACAGTCAGTGTTGGATTGTGTCTTAGAGATGGTGACATAAGTGGCATCCTATTCAGACAGTACTGACGCCCATGAATCAATGGCACCGCTCAAAGAAGGAAGTCAGACCTTCCAACAGATCTCAGCTTGTAAGAACAACTGTACATAAGATGAAAGAGCTTATCAATTTAGAGATGCAAACAGGAAAAAAGCTTCCAATTTATCATGCTAAGTTTGAGGAATGGTAATGTGAAATTGCATTAAATTAGTTATGTGATGTCAGATTAATCCTTAGATGATCACAGGGGCAGGTTAAAATAGTATATGTATTTTTGCTGATTAAGGTAATAAGAAAGACCCAAATGTGCCTTATTTTAGAGGTGAAAATCATCCAGCTTCATTACAATAAGCAACATACATATTCATAATTGTGAAAAGACACCACATAAATTGAATAGATACTTAAGAGTTGTCACCTCTACCTCATCCCCTCACAGAATGGCTGTGGTGGGAAGGGACCTCCTGAGATCATCTAGTCAGACATCTTCCACAAGAAGGTTCACCTAAAGCCAGGACCATGCCCACCTGGATTTTGAATATCTGCACAGGTAGAGACTCCACAATTGCTCTGGGCTATCTATTTCAGTGTTTGACCATTCCCACCATAAAAAATTATTTTCTTGTCTTCTGGTGGAATTTCACAGGTTTTAATTTGTGCCCATTACCTCTTGTCCTGTCATTGGGCATTACTGAGAACAGTTTGGCTCCCTCTTCTTCATTTCATCCCATCAGCTATTTATATACATTGATAAGCTCCCTCTGAGCATTCCCTTTTCCAGGTTGAACAGTGTCAGCTTTCTCAGCTTCCCCTCACATAAAAGGTGCTTCAGGCCCTTAATGCTCTTCATGGCCCTTTGCTGGACTCACTCCAGTAAGTCAACATCTTTCTTGTACCTTGGAGCCCAGACCTGGAAACAGCACTCCAGATGTGGCCTCACCAGTGCTGTGTAGAGAAGATCTTTATGCAACAAAAGTCATAATCAAGGCAAGACAGTGTCTGAGGAATCCACTCAATGAAGAAACTCCAAAATGGAACATCTTATGTTTTTATGACACCTCAACACAGAATGTTCATACAATAACTCCAAAAGCAAATTATTTCATTGCACTGAATTAATCTGAATTCACACATACCTAGAATCATCATGATCTATGGCAGGAACTAAATATAATTAATCTGTTTCTATAAAAATCTTCAGAAAAAATCTACATTACAATGAAGTTAATAGTTCCAAAGTCATCATCTCCAAATTATTTAATATTAGTATGTCATATAATTTCTATACACTACAAGTCTTCATGGACTTTAGGGGACAAGAACTAATATATATCTATAACTGCTCAAGGTGAAAAGTAAAGATGGACACAAAGATGGGGTGAGTTAGTGTGACTAAGAACTCAATGCAGTTTCACCTGGTTTTGATACTGAAACACACCCTTTCCACATAAGTATACATTTGTACTCCAACCATACTCCTCAGAGGTCACCACGGAGATATGCAATGGAAGTTAACATGATCATCATCTCTATAAAACAAATTCCACATGGAGCAAAAAAGGATATACCTCTTCGCCAAAAGCATCACTCTGAATTTTTATATAGTTTCTTT